GGTCACTTTTTCTTGTTCTTTGTCTTGCTTCAACATTGTCTGGATTGAACGTTGTCCTCCAGGTGGGGAGGCGGAAGTAGAAGTTGAGGGGCCAGAAGCTATAAATTTCCTGCTCATTTTAAACAATTGAAGATCATCAGGTTCTTCTGAACTTTAACCCAATTATGAAGTAACCAATTATAATCCAAGATAAAAAAATAAAAATGGTAGAGAAAAGCCCAATAATAATAAAAAAAAAGAGAGGAGAGAAAATTTCTTCAGGTTCTTCTAAGCCTTAATCCAATCAATAGTTAAGTGAAAAGGAAAGGAAGGAACAAAAAAAGAAAAGGAGAAAAAAAGAAATTCTTCAGGTTCTTCACCACCTTAATCCAATTAAAAGGTCTCAAAAATAGAAAAATAAAAACATAAAAATGAACCAAAAGTATGGATGGAAAAAGCAAAAAATCCCAGAGAAGAAGGGGAAAAAAAGAAAAAGAAAAATTTTGAGGCTTTCCCTTTAAAATAAAAAGCAAAAATAGAAATATTACAAAAATAAAGGGTGTCCCTTTAAGTCTTAGAATAATGATAAAAAAAAAGTTCTCACCAAACCGACGCACTTTCTCTTTCCAGTCTCTTCTGATTGGAGCTGTCCCAACTTCAGCAGCTTTAATGGCTGCCTCTCTGACGCTATAGAGTGCTATACACCAGAACAACTAGACACAAGAACAGTTTTTTCCCAAATGCCATCACTCTGCTAAACAAATAATTCCCTCAACACTTTTCAACTATTTACAAAGTCTGCACAACTACCGTGTTTCTCCAACAATACAGCCTCCACCAATAGGAAGGCCCAGCATGATTTCTAGGCATGAGGTGAAATTAAGCCCCACCCCCCAAATTTAGGCCTATTCAAACCATGCTTTTCCCCGCCATTTCTCACATTGTTTGTTAGAACTACATGAGGTGAAGAGAAATGGGTGGGGGAAGGGTGGGGGGGATGGGGAGAAAACTTGCCTTTAGGAGTGCCCTGCAGGTAGCCTAGGCTAGAATACCCAGATAGCCGATAGAAGCTCCCTGAAGGCAGAGTCCCCAGCTGCTTCAGGGTGTGGCGTGGCTACCCATGTTGCCTCGCCTTTAGGGCAGTCTCTTTCGGACGATGGAAGCCCCCCAAATGCAGTCACCAGCTACTTCAATCAGCCGGTAGAAGCGGCCTCTCAGTGAGGGGAGTGTGTGTGTGCCACACCTCACCCCGAAGGAGCTGGGGACTCTGCCTTCAAGGGAGCTTCGATCGGCCAGTAGAAGTGGCCTCGGGGCGAGCACACACACACACTCCCCTCACCATGAGGCTGCTTCTATCAGCCGATGAAAGCTCCCTGAAGGCAGAGTCCCCAGCTTCAGGGTGTGGTGTGGCTATTCCCTTGCCTTTAGGGCAGT